AAAGGCGAAGCGCGGGCTTATGAAGTTCCTCAAATTTGTGCTGGACTACGACTCTGAGCCGCAGACTGATATGTGGAAGCCTCATGCAAGTGACTCGCTGGCGAGTTTCCTGGCGACGGAGTTCAAGCTCGACGCCGACCTGCAGGCATACATCATTACTCTGACCTTGAGTCTTGATGGCAAGGTTTCAACAGAAGCTGGCCTCGTTGCTATCCATCGCCATCTCACATCCATGGGAGTGTTTGGCCCTGGCTTTGCAGCTGTTTACCCCAAATGGGGAGGCCTTTCTGAAGTTGCCCAAGTGGGCTGCCGAGCTGGTGCCGTTGGCGGCGCCGTTTATATGCTTGGCGTTGGTATCAAGGACGTTCAAAAAACCTCCGACGCCGCTGAAACGCCCGAGGAGTTTAATGTCGTTCTGACCAACGATGTGACTGTCAAGTCAAAGGCTATAGTTAAGGGCCTGGGCAAGTCGGCAGGTGAAAGCCGCCGTCTTAGCAGGCTGACAGCGATTGTCAACTCAGGCCTACCGTCAATCTTTGAGACGGTGACCGAAGGTGCTCCGGTGCCAGCGGTTGCTGTGGTTGCAATCCCTGCTGGCACGACCCTTGGCGAAGATGGAGCCTCTTCTGAGTATCCCATCTACGCCCTCGCTCATTCGAGTGATGCAGGCGAATGCCCTGCTGGACAATGTAAGTTTTCTTTCATTTACCCCAAGTTTCTTCTCTTTCCACCCCTCCGTGTTATGATGAAAAAACCGAAAAACGAATACTTTATAACTGCGGAATTACATTGACGATAATTTCCTCTGACAACCTGATAAACACTTCATATTTGGCATTTTATTTTTTACTTTTGGAATTTGAAAATGCGATAGTTTGCTAACATTCTATCTCATCAGGTGTACTGTATCTAAGCACTCTCACAAACCCAAATGCCCAAGCGCATCTTGAGAAAGCCCTCTCATCTCTTCTAGTCTCTCTTTCTCAGAGCAGCCAAGAGCCCCCCAAGGTCCTATACCAGTTGTATTATGAACAAACTGGCGTTGATGCTCCATCTGTGGAAATTGATGGGCAAACAGCCGAATTTTCTCTGCTGCCCTTGGATCTTGCGTTCAATGATGCTGTACTGGATCCTGTTAGGAGCGCTTGGGAGATGATTAACCTAAATGCTACTGATGAGGAACGTGCAGAGTATCTGGTGTTCACAGATCGGGAGGGAGCAGATGCCGAAGATGAATTTGATGATTAACTAGAATAACTGGCGTTAATATATTCTTCTGTGTCCATGAACCATCCATCCTATTAGCTATCGTGACCTGGTCGAAACTGCTACTTTGTAGTGCCTTCTCAATAAACCATCCTTTGTGAACCTAGCCTGATTGCTATCATTAACGTTCGCATCTTAACTAAATCAGTCTGCAATATGACGTCCGTATTCCCGTATTTGTCCCGAATGCTCCGAAATTCATGGTAGAAGAAAAGATGAAACTCGAAATATTAGTTGCGTGCAGTCGCTCAACTGACTTGCCTCCAGATGTCCCAGTGTGAAAATTAGATGCCCTTGTTTCCTAACGCCCCGTTCCAGATGATGATGAAGAAAAAGAAGAAGAAGAAAGAACCTTTCCCAGTAAATCTCGAAAATCATGGATACGCCACGCAAATCAGGATATTTGATGCGTCCGTAAATCGAGAATCGAGAAAACACCATTACATGTAATTACACCCGCTTCAAAACTTTTAAGCAAGCTCATCTTCCGACTCCATCTGCGTGTCAAACATTTTGTCGACAGAGGCGTTTATTCCAATGTGAAGAGCCCCGAAAGGCTGCATGGCTGCCACGCCTTCTTGGTGGACTGAGATTACGTTCTTCGACGCCAGTGATAGCACATGTAGAAATGCTTGAGCGGCAACGGCTCTAGGGTGGGTAGTTGGTTCGGCCAATTCCTCAAACTCAATCCACCGACGATGTTTTTTGTCTCGACCGTAGACGACCCCAGTTTTTGCAGCTTGCTCTGCTACATAACCCAAGAAATCTTGACTAGTAACATCAAGGCCCTGAGTCGAAAATTGAGTGGCATTGTCTCGATCGTAGTCAAGAGGACCAACAGGGCCACCGAGTTGGAAAGAGGAGTCGTGAGAACCAAAGTCATCCATTCCAAAGAGCGGTTCGGCAGGATCACTATGGCGATCGATGGCATTCAGAGCACTTCCACGACCGAACAGAGGGCTGGGGGCAGTCCTTGGCTTCTGGGCACTGCCTCGGACGGAAGATCCTGGGACAGCTGAGCCAGGTCGGCTCCATGGCATCGCTGAGGAAGAATGATGATCTTCCATTGGCGGCGGCGCATCCATTCCTATCTCAGGAACTGAGTTGTCATCAAACATGATATGTGCTTCATCGTGATTACCGCCTCGACCAAGTTCGACTTCTTCAATAACTCGTTGCTTTGCGGTTCGTTCGTCTGCGCCATGTTCGTCTTCAAAAGCTTCATCTGACTTCCGTCGACGGCCTCTCTTTACAGGTTCGAGTTGCTCGATTTCATCTGGCTCTTTTCCCTGGAGACGTGCCTTCAATGAGATGCCGGAAAAATCAGCTGCCAATGGATGAATTAGACCTTCTGTTTGATGATATGCTCCGACTCGAGCGACACCGTAGTCATAGATGAGTGCCATTGCATTCTTCCTCGCTTGTCCAAGGGTAGTGATGGTCTTTCGCTGTTGTTGGCGGAGGGATTCGGCATTCGCAACGTAGTTTTCAGTCCAATCTCTGAGTTCTCGACTGGAAATTTGGATTCTTTCATCCAACACAGCATGTGGGTTGATCCGTCTCGATCTAGCCATCTTGGCAGATACTCGATTAGTACCTGCTTCTGTTTGTTCTGCGACCTGTGGCTGGGCCTCCGAAGGCTGTTGAATCGAAGCATTTGGTGGAACATCATTTGTACCCTGTAATAGTTGATCCTCAAAGTCGATTAAATTTTCTTCCTCGCCCAAAATGAGAACTTGATCGTCTTTCATCACTTGCTGCAATCCAAGACTGCTTGTAGCATTTGTCGCGGAGGGAAGAGGAGGCAGTTCAGGTTCAGGCTCAGTCTCTTGATCAAGAATGCTAACAAGATTTCCCTCTGCGTCGAATTCAAAGCCGATTCCCGAGATGGATGGAAATTCATCGCCGGCAAGCGGTTGGAATTCAGCCATGCTGTCAGGATGGTGAATTGATTTGCCAAACAAAGGACTGAGTCTACCAAAATCTGAGGGAAGACGGCAGCTTGCAGCTGATTGTGAAGAAGGTGGAAGCTCAAGATTGATTAAGGCAGAGCGGTGGCGTGGCGAGAAACTACCTTGGCTACCAGCTGTTGCGAGCGGTGTCATTTGGGAGAACTTGCTTGAGGAGCCCTGGCTTGGAAACAGCACAAAATCTTTGTCCCATTGCAGCAGGTTCAAGTTTGGAAGTGAGGTGAAAGGATCAAAGGCAGGGTCATCTTGTAAAATAATGTTCTGACGCCTATGAGCAGAGGTTAGCTATTATTTATCAACTTGTCGGCATGCAGCATTCTGCCAACTTACTTGGTCTTTCCGGCTCGCGGATCAGTTTCACTTGTTTGAATGATGCGAAAAAATGTCACCATGTCAGACTGGGTCTTTTCAGCATCTGTGAGAACATAGGCACACTGCTGCTCGAAAACACGTGAAACACCATAGAGTAGATTGCCTTGGAGACGAAGAGCAAGAGGAGCTCCTGGATCCAGTATTTTCTCGCACGCCTTTGGAACGTTGACTTCTTGGATCGCTTTCTTAGTCAGTCTCTTTTGGTTTCCTTTGCCCACCGTGGCCACCAGCCTAAAGAGTGAAAGAGCAGTTAGCGGGAACGGCCATCTCATTAGGGAGCTTATTATAGATACATAGCCATACCAAATAGTAGCAACCCCATACTGGGTACTGCTCAGAACTATGAGTAGTTATTAGCGTTTCTGGGATTTAGAAGTAAAGGCATGCTTTGGATAGCATACTCTCATGAGAATAAAACATTGTATATAGGGGTTCGCTGAAATCGCGATACGAAGAGGGGGAATAACGTAAATGAATTTAGAGAATTGCTCTTGCTCGAAAATGAATGATGAAATTTTAATAGATGAAAGGGGTGAAAATCATCAGGCAGATTCTGGAATGTATCATCGGAACTCTACATTTGAACCCCTTATGCCTCCCGTTGATCTTATTTGCCAATATGTTGTATGAGGGAACAGTCGAAACAAACGAGATAAAGAGCGTGAAGATGTTGAAAGAAAAAAGGATGCGGACGATGCTTCACGCGTCGAAACGTGACGCGATTGATCAAGCTGCGATCCCGGAGAAGGATTAAGTCCATTCCCCCGAAACCACGCACCGAGGAGTTGTTCCACTGCCGTCCTTTGTCTTCCAGATGACAGCCGTTTGCCAGCCGACAGGTTCGTAGTCAGCATAGAATCTTTTCTGTCACTCTTCATATTCAAAAATAAGCGACATTCTCGTTGTTTCGCGCTTACGATCCATCTTTTCGTCTGAAGAAATGTAAAGAAAGAGAGCATGAATACATTGATCACCAGAATGCGCCGCCAACACCATGTACAAGTCTACCAGTTAACTCGTAAGTAATCCAACATGAGATATAACAATTTCTGCTTGGATTATTGAGCGTAGGATCAACGTATTGCATTGCTAAAAGTTGACGCAGGATTAAACCTGTAGACGGAGATTCGCCTGGATCCTATCTCTTTTTCTTATCACTACTAACTTGTCGGCAGGTAACCCATGAAATTGCCCAATTTTCCGCCTTGAGGATGACCATAGTCGAAGCTTGTGCGATTGAATAGCTGTATTGGATAATCAGTATTATATGCAGTTGATCAAGTGTTAGCCTAGAGATAAAGCATCCAGCATCCATGTATACTCAGACCAGCTGCCATCTCCCTCCAATCTCTACATCTATGGCTCTCCGTTAGTCTATTAATCTGCCATTCAGCGGTCTTAGCTCAGCTGGGAGAGCGTCAGACTGAAGTCGCAACTTCAATCATCAAATTATCTGAAGGTCGTGTGTTCAAGCCACACAGACCGCAATGTTTTTTTTTGTGGTGCCGTCTGGCCCCCCCTTTTTTTGTTTTGGCATAAACCATGAGATAACGTTGCCCTTTTCTACTGGGTATCTATCTATCTATCTATCCATCATAGTATCCAAAGTGTCCATTATTATTAGCAGTGCGAATGTATTCCCTAGATATGTAGGCTGGCAAATGCAATCACCCCGGGCAGCTCTCGGTTAGGTCTCTTTATGCAACAGAAAAGGTAATGCATACACCGAAAGCATTAGCCTACTCAAACACAGAACTCTAGTGTTCATTCAGTATTAAGGGGGGGGGTCAACCAAAAATTCCATTTGCAGTTTCTGATGCCACTATCTAACGATGGCTGAATAACTCAAGACCATCGTACATGGAACGAGATCACTTGATTCTCTAGTTCTAAAGTCATTCCCCTGAACCTGTCTGATATGGGTTTTAATCTCTTTCCTTTCTCCATCTTTGCTTCGTCCCACCGGTCGAGGGTGAGAGTCGAGCTACAAAACAAACAGTCCCCCACACGCTCCTAGTGCCCTGATATTTCATCCAACACCACCGTGCCGGTTGCCGCTCCTGCGAAAAACCTATCACAAGAGCCATTCCTAAATGCAAAGCCTCGTCCACTCGAACGGGCATCCAATAGATGAAATATGCGACGACTTTAACACCAACACAGAAACTGAACCGAAGAGGGCTTTGACTTCTGCGATTGTTGCTGGGGGTAAAGAAACCAAAAAAAGCAAAACGATGAATAGCCGGCCTCCTTTGTACTCCCTTTCCCTTTCTACATGACTTTTGGTTTAGCCACCGCCGCTCTTTTCGATGCGCACGGGGCATACATGACTTCTCTATTCCATCGTTACGACTAGGGGGGTAAAAAGACAACAATTAAAATTGATTGAAAGGGGAACATGTGGAAAATTGTAAATATGGGAACTGTAACCACTCAACAAAAAAAGGAATATTGTGTAATGTGTGTAGAGAAGATTTTCGTGAAAGTGGGTATTGGATTACTGTAGTGTCATAGGGTCTATATACAGATGAAGTGGTCATGGGGATCGTGTTGCTGGTCTGATGTGCTGTGCTGAACTGGGGGAATTGTGGGGTGATAGGTGTAGGTATGAGTGCGGTAGGAGGCTGTAACGAGGTGCTCTTGGTCTGGATCATCGGTTATTGTGACGCACGGAACAGCTGTGGCTTTATTGTTATTAGAGGCTCATCGCCCAAGTAGAGGGCCCGCTCAAGACTGAGCAATGACGCCTTGTGAGCCGCCCAGCTGGCGCTTCACCTGTTCACGAGCCCATCGAGCTGTTTCTATTGTGCGGGGCTGGAATTCGCGGTTGGTCTTGGTCTCCTTAATCATGGCGGTCAACCAGCCCTGTCGGAAAGCGTCAATAAGCTCCCCGTTGGGATACGCGTCAGCCAGGTCACTAGCGGATGCTGTTAGTATATTGCACCTTTCAACTCGGAAATTGAAACAAGTCCTTACCCAATGACACCCATAGCTGCCCTCATAAGCGATTCGCTACGGCTGGTATCGCTACCGATAAGGTTGAGAAGGTGGAAGATGGATTCGACGTATTGTTGGAGAATTTGGGCTGCAAAGAATTGTCAGTAAATGCTATATGCGAAGAGTATACATGTGCGTTCAAGGCAAACTTACTCTTTCCACTAGACTTCATGGCACCGATAATGCCACCCCATGCATCCATGATACCTTCTCGCAATGAAACGACGTAGTAAAACATCTCATCAGGGCCCTCGGGCGTTGCGGTGACGGTGGATGCTTGCTCCAAGACTTGAGCAACAACAGAGAGATAGGTCTCAAAGTGGCCTCCGATGGCGCCAGCAATATCTCCAAAGCACTGCAGAATGGCGGGCTTGAACTGATTGGCAAGCGTGGTACTCTGTGACGTTTAGTTAGCATTGAAAGCTTCATATGAATGGTAAGATGCAGAAAAAAAAAAAAAAAAAAAAAAAAACTCACTCTGAGGTTGTTCAGAAGGTAGTTCATAAAGTTGTCGCAGAAAGGCTGGCTTCGCTCGCCCATGGATCGCGTAATGTCGCTAACGAGGCCAATAGCCATCGAGCAGAGACTAGGCTCGTCTTGGTTTCCAAGTGCGTTGTACAAGAATGGGACAAAAGCCTCCATGTACTTGATGAAGTCTTCCTCCATTGTGGTTGATAGAGCGCTGATGGTAGCGAAGATGGCCTCTGGGACGCTTGACTTTCCTCCAATGGTGCTGAGGATCTGAAGCAGGACTTGCATGATGCGGTCGCCCTGAGGAGCAATTTCCTTGTCGAGACGAGAGATGATGGCCTGAAGAACAGTGCACAGGCTGTTCTGCATCTCTTCCAATGTCAGCTTGTCCTCAACGCTGACAACCTGAGACTGCAGAGGAATGGTCTCCTCCAGGCGCTTGATGATGACATCGGAGAGTGATGCAATAGCAGACAAGCTCTCAGAGGCAGCGTTCTGAACAAAGACGTTCAGGACCTCGTAGGCAGCGGTTCGAACAGATGTCTCAGTATCTTGACGGGCCGTGACATCGAGGAGTGAACTGACGGCCTGGTTGAAGTGAGGAGTGATTGGGTTAGAGGCAGCGCCAAAGTCGCCGGCAAAGCGCTCAGCAAGGTTCATCAAGGCCCAGCAGCATGATGGAGCCATCTTGGCGTTGCTGATGAGGCCCTTGAAGAGGGAGGCAATGAGTGTGGGAAGGTGCTGCTGGGCATCAATAGCCTCCGAGCATGCCTCCGTGACACGGCCAAGAGCATAGGCGGTGGAGTCCTTGACCTGGAGGGACTGGTCGTCCATCATGGTGATTAGAACAGGAAGGGCCTGCTTGACGATGGGCTCCAAGACCTTCTCATCGGGACCCTCCATGATGGCGCCAAAGGCAGAGACGGCAGCATCTCGGTTGTGCCAGTCATCAGACCTGAGGTTTGCCTCAACAAAGGCCAAAACGGGTCCGATGATGGTGGAGTTGACAGCTTGAGAATAGAGTTGCAGGCACTGGTAGGCAGCCCGGGACAAGTTGTACTCGTCGTCTGTAGCATCCTCATCCTGCTTGGTCAAGAGCGTCAATAGCACGGGAACGACCTCATTGGCGGCAACGCGTGCAAAGTTGTAGAAGGGGCGCATCTGGTCGGCGTTCTCGACCTGCGAATTGTCATCCTCAATGGAAACTTCCTCCTCGCACACAGTGCTCCAGAATTCAACGGCCAGCTTGGCAACATCCTCATCCTCAGATTTCATCCCGAGAATGGTCAGTCCAAAGAGGGCCTTCTCCATGTAGAAGCGCATGTTCTCGTAGTAGAGACCCATGATGCGGTTCAGGCAGCCGAAAGCTCCCTGCTGGATTCTCGAATCGTCGGCCTGGGTGGCCTCGCAAACGACCTGCATAATGTAGTTTCGCTCGCCCTCATGCTTGAAGTTATTGGCAACAAACTCGAGGGAATCGCCGAGGGCTGTGATGGCGGCGAGTCGAACTTCGACGTTGGTCTCCTCCTTTCGGGCGCCCTGTACGACGGCTGTCAAAATGGCGTTCGAGTGGGCAACAAGAGCTAGTCGCAGCTCCGGATCTTGGCTTTCGCAGATGTAGCCAATGGTGGTAAGAGAAGACTGCTTCTGGTGATCGGCGCCTTCGCTGACGTTTTTCACGAGGAAGGACAGTAGATCCGTCCACTGGCCGCGGGGAAGCTCAATTGCAGCAATTGAAGAGATAACCTGGGCGGCGGCAGTACCAGCCTGAGTGTTGCTCGAAGACAGGGTCTGCAGTGTCAGCTGCTTTACCCGGCTCTTGGTCTCTTCGTCTGTCTGCTGCAGCCATTTTGACTGTAGCTCCTGTTGCCGAGCGAAATCCCTGGCTGTGAAGGCGTTTTTGAGGGCAATACCGGCAGCGGCTCGGATGGAGCCCTCTGCTTGGTCGTTGGCAAGTTCTTGGACGAGTGTAGCGAGATACAGCGGCTATATGACGAAAAAAAAAAGAGAGAGAAAATGTCAGTTGTCTGCGATCGATTCTCTCGTTGTCTCAAGGGAGGTGGGATAACGTACGAAGTTACTCTCCGCTGCCTGAGTGAGTTGCTGTTCGGCGGCGTTTCGCAGGTTCGCATCTATAATTTTTTCTTTGAGTCAGCTAACGACGCTCGGTACTTGATTTCCGACGTTTTTCTGCTGATCCCGATCGAGTGAGGCTCTCCATCAGCAAAGAGAAGAGATCATCTCTAGCCGAACGAAGTGCCCCTCAAGAGGGGTGCGCAGCGAGGATATCCTGCGGACGAGATTTTTCTTCTCTGTTCCACCACCACTAACCTGGAGACAGCGAGTTTGCGAGCACCGTATTAATCTCTGAGCCCGACATGATTGCGGTCTTGAAAGCGTCCTCTCATGCGTCAACCAAAAGGGCGCTGCTGATGCTGGTGGGAAACGCCGAGTCGATGTTAGGTGCAGCTACACGTGTTTGCACCAAGGGGGGAAAGGAAAAAAAATAAGGGCGTAGGCGCGGGGGAGGTTCCCAAGGCGGAGTCGGCGAGTTTAAAGAGAGAAAAGTAAAATGAAATAAAGAAGAAAAAAAAAAGAGGTAGCCTTGTGGGATGCACGTAGTCGGTTTGGTTCGACAAGGCAGGAAAAAAAAGGGAAAGGGCGGTCTATTGTTTTTGTTGATATATAATTTTTTTCCTTTATCTTGGTCCCTAATCAAGGCCGAATCGTGAGGATCCCAACAGCTGCCTGGCTGTATTACGGTCAGAAGCAGACGTAGGTGGTGAGGGAAGAGAGCGAATAGGGTCGAGGGATCGCACAGAGGGTCTGGCACTCCAAATAGCAGTCCCGGTGCAGGGGCCAGGCCAGTTTCTGTGGGATGACGGGGCTAAGGTTGCTACCGCCACTTGCTCGCAGCAGCTGCCGGATGCCTGTTTGGGCGCTACTTTAGAAGGGCCCAGGGAGGGAGAGGAGAGGGACGTGCTAAAGAGGGTGCCGGGTTGGGAGAAGCAAAAAGAAG